GACATGTCTGCCACGCAGGACGAAAGTGTAACGCTACAAGCTACCGCTCGATTCTCTCGTACTGCGGGCGCAGCTACTGATCTTCTCATCATGGAGAAAAGATTGGGTACCAGTTTAGGAATGGCTTCTCTCCATTTGGTCGTGGTATTGTAGTTTTGGAGTTCTTTGGAGTGTTGTTGCTCGCTTTATTGATTCGTTTGCTTCAGTAAAGGTAAGAGCTATGCTTAAATACTTAAATCATGACGAAAAAATGTTAGTCCATGTTGTAATCTCTGTTTTTCGGTCTCCATTCATCCGTTTAACTGTTGCTGTGGAAAATGGCGAGCAAATTAGAAAGGGAATGTTGGGAAAGCGACGCCACTTAATGAAACAAACTAAGTACAGCATGTTAGCATTGTCTTTGTTGATAAGCTTACTTTGGCAGCGTTATTACTCCTGAGCTCCTGTTAACTCGAAGGTATTTTTTTAAAGTTGAAGTTCCTAGATCAAAAGGATTGTACTGTGTATCGAGGGTCTATACACTTAAGCCTACCTTACCTAGAAACTGAAAGTTTGTCAGCAATTTCGCTATAAACTAAAGCAATATCGCTGCGAGAATGATCAGTTTGTACGATGGGATCACTCAATTACACTTGTTCGACAGAAACCTTGCGTCAAAATGCGGTTATGTTTATATTGAGTCGAGAACCTCGAATAGCAGTAACAAACTTAAATAACATTTATTTCGTTTAAAGGTGTGTTTTAAAGCACCGCATTTGTAGAGGTAATCACATGATTTTGAGTGCAAGTTGGAGTAAATAAGCACAAGTAAATTTTTCAGAGGCTAACAAAATTGCACAACCTGTAGGGCAAGTGCAATTTATAGTCAGAAAAATTTACAAACTTGTGCTTATTTTGGGTGATCCTCAGAAGTGCTGGGAAAACGTCCAATTACCTTTGACTATCTTCAGAAGACTTTGAGTGACCTTAGTCCTCCTTCAAAATACCTTAACTTCCTTTTGCAGTTCTTTCATTTCGTTCCCTGTATTTGGGGGAATTTTAGGTTTTAAAAGTGAACAGAAACTTGCACACTGGAGTTCTGCATATTTAATTTATTCAGCTTCTACAGGACTGCCAGGAAAAGAAGTGGCCACTATTTTAACACAGTTGAAATACAACTGATCTTAAAATAATTGGCTTGTTTTTGTTGTCTTTCTGATTTATGACTTTCATCTTTCTTTCGCTGCGTTATACCAGACTTCGTCAATTTATTAGAAGTCAATATCGGAAATCAGTCGATTCAATCAATATCAATTGATATCAATTGCTGATTGCTATCGGTAATCAATAACAATCGATAACTCACAGGAAAATTTCTTTATCAACTGCTATCAATTTCCAAAAATGGACAACAATTGATAATTCCTATCAAGTGTTATCTATTAAACAAAAATTGACAGTAATTACCCGGACTATTCAAAGACAACTTTGTTAGTGTGTAAAATTATAATAATACCTGGAACAACACAAGACACACGTTCATGACATAGTCCAATAGCTCAATAGTTTGAAATATGCACCTCAACCCAAGCTTGAGATATGGCATGATGATGGTCTCATGGTTAGTGTGCTTGACTCTGTAGCAAGTGGTCCGAGTTTGAACCCTGGCCAGGGCCATTGTTTTGTGTTCTTGGGCAAGACACTTTACTCTCATGGTGCCTCTCTCCACTCAGGTGTATAAATGGTTATGGGCAAGATAAATGCTGGGGGTAACCCTGTGATGGACTAGCATCTCACCCAGGGGGGAGTAAAAATACTTCTAGTCGCTTCATGCTGCTGAAACCGGGATAAGCTCTGGCCTGATGAGCCACTTGGCTCGTATGCAGACTTTACCTACCTGCCTGCCTGCCTGCCTACCTACCTATTATTACAATGATTACTATCGTTATCAACACTACAGTGAAACCTGTCTTAAGTGGACACCCTCTATTAAGTGGACACCAGGTTGAGTCCCAAAATTTTCTTCCTACATTTACTATGAAATAAACCTGCATTCAGTGGACACCTCTGTTAAGGTCATTCCCTAGTATTGCATTGCACATCCCTACTGTGCATAATTTCACGTGTGATTAGCGCACGCACATTAAAAAATGGCGGTTTTTTCTTTACAGCTGGACCTCACCATAGAGGTAAATCGTCATTTACTCGCAAACGAGTATGGTGACCTATCATTTTTTTTTGTTGTTTTAAATTTAGTAATAAATTTCTCTGCGTAAAATAAATATGGACCAATTCTCAGTGTAGAACAAAAAGCAATCATTGGAAACGTGAATTTAGCAAGCAATCGTAACTACAATCATGGTGCTATTATAAGGATTTATACGGGTATAAACAAGGTGCTTTTGCTCCTAAATGAACATGGGGACACCTCATTTTTATTTCAAAATTTAAGTTCCTATAATATAAACAATCAATAAGCAAAGTTTCACAAAAATCTGAGTGCAGGTTCTATTTCAGCGAAATAACCTTAAACAAACGCGGACACCAATATTAAGCCATTTTGCTGCACAAAACCTGCAATAAGCAGACACTTCAAGGGCTTTTTACTTCTGAAAGCTCAGCTCAGACTCCTTAACATTGTTCAGTGATGTCGTTTTAAAGCTAAGCTGATTATTTCAGATTGATGCATTGACTGACTGAACATTGTGCTATGAGCAGTCTTTGATCTGACACTGTGTTACACTGAGTTACAAAAGGATTAATAATTAAATATTGTTGCACAATATATTAGAACCTACTTAGAGCGGACACTAGGGAGGCTCCCATGGGTGTCCGCTTAATACAGGTTTCACTGTATGACTTTTATACAAGTCCCATTATTCACAGGTCGAGGCCTTGTTTTATGAAGACAAGAAATACAAAAAACTGCTTCTTCTTTTTCATGTGTTGTTCCTGTTGAATATTTCTGACGACAAAGTGATTACTGCTATGCCACTAAATTATATTTTTCCTTC